CAGGGCAACTCTGCACACTCGAGAGGAGACGCTACGTGTGGCCTAACGGGGCAGGGCAGGAGGGACTCCCCGCCACCCTCCTGGACTGGGAGGTTACACCCAGGACACTATGTGACGTGGGGCGGAGGGCAGAACGGACACGAGGACATGGGAGGGGTGGGGCTGCTAGAGCTGAGGCGCACCTGGAGGAAGCCAGGTGGGCGGCGGAGCACGGTGTCCAGCGAGCTGTCCAGGAAGCGGACGATGCGCAGGTAGCCGGGGTAGGAGGGCGCGCTGACCTCCCCAGCAGGGTTGACAAAGAAGATCTGGACCCCGCTGGGGATAAGGATCAGCTCGTCGGCGTCCAGCCCCAGGCTCTCCAGGGGCGGTGGCTGGGAGTGGTTCCCGTAGAAGTTCTCCCCCAGGGAAGAGAACTCGCCCGAGTCCGTGCCGTAGGACACTGTCTGGTGGCCCTCGGCCGCCTGGGGCGTGTAGGCCGGAGGCGCCTCGGCAGGCCGGCTGGCCGATGGAGGGGAGGCCCCAGCCACTGCGCCTGCCTCCTCAGCTGCGCTGGCCTCAGGGGCATCCGCAAAGGGCGGGGGCGGGGCCTCCTTGGGGGGGAACTGGGGGTAGAGGCGGGGCACATCATGTAGCTCCTGGCGCAGCGAGGCCGCCAGCCCCTTGTCCAGGATCTCCAGACGGCCACGCACGTTCTGCAGCATCTCCCGCATCTTCTGCTGCATCTGCCGTGCCAGATCCTGCTCGGGCCCGGGCGCTATGGGTATGCTGAGGCCGCGGAGCAGGTGCCCCAGGCCCTGCCGGTAGTGGCCCCGGGCATCATCCTTCCGTCCCTCCTCGTCCGCACTCAGCCCCTCGTTGACAAACCAGAAGGCCTTCTCGTAGGCCTCGCGCACCTGCTCCACCTCAGGGGCCGCTCCGCTGGGGAGCTCCCGCTCCATGTCTGCAAAACAGCACGGCACCCCCTTGAAGGCCGCCTGTGACTGCCAACCGGCTGGCCCCCGATGGTCTGCACCTCCCTCAGCCTCAGACCGCTGCCTCCCACCCGCGCCCAACCCCACCATCCAGTTCCCTGACCACGGCAGCTGCCCTGACGGGGTACCCTCAAATCTGCGGGACGGATACATCCACGGCTGGCCTTGATCCCCACACCCGTTCCAGTCACAGACCTGGAGACCTCAGGGAACGAGGCCAATCTCCTCACCAGGTGACACAGGGGGCCAGCCGTGCCATCAAGTTCTGTGCGTGGAACCAAAGCACCCAGCTTGTTGGTGGGGAGGGGGAGGCCATGGGCAGGATGCAGGACATCACTGGACACCCAGTTAAAGGGAACACTTGGGCCTGTCCCCTTGCCAAGCCCCACCAGCTAGTCACGGAGATAAAGACACCCCCCAATTCTGTGACTTCTGGGGGCAACCCACAGTGAGCTAGACTCCCCCTTCCATGAGTCCTGGGGGAGACCATGAGATTCAGACCCTCCCCTGCCTTCATGACTCCTGGGGGAGATTCAAGCCAAGAAACAGACCCCAAATTCTGTGACCCCCAAGGGGAGACCCATACCAAGATCTAGGGGCCACATTCCCACACTGAGATACAGAACCTCCCACGTGAGTCTACGACTGGCTGGTGGGTTGAATCCGCTGACCTTGGGGTGAGTAGTAGCACCTCCCACTGCACCCCCAGGGTGCCCAGCTGCAGGCAGCCACTATGCTGGGGGTTAGGGCCACCAGGCCCCTGCACAACCCTCCCCCAGCTGCTCTGAGGTGTACTGCTGGGGGAGCACTGGTGTGTGTGGGGGGGGGTTGCTCCTCCAGCCAAACCCTTTCTGGTGTCAGAAAAGCTCCTTCAGCTGGGGTACAGACAGAGATTCACCGTAAAGCCCTACTTTGGGCCTGTGAACAAGGAGGGGGCTTCACAGAACCATGTGGAAAATCTCCCTCTCTCTACTCTCTCTCGGTGGCAGGCTGACTCACATCTGACACGCTCCAGCAGCTGTCTGGTGGACTCTACCCCTCGAGCTCCCACCATGCTCACGTCAGCAGGGAAGGGGGAGGAAGGACAGCTGGCCCTAGAGGGTGGGAGGCAAGGTGGCTTCCTGTACATACAGGAGAGTCTCAGAAGAGGGGGGTGCGGGAGGGGGATGTTGGGGGGTGGCGGCACCCCAGCAGGGAGAGAACCTCTCAGCAGCTGAACTGAAGCCCTTACAGTCAAGCCCAGGCTCTCCTGCCTCGATTCAGAAACAAGTCTCTATTGAAATAGTCTAAAGTCCAAATGGGCTCAGTCTTCAGTGACAAGCAAGTTGATCTCTTAACAAGTTGTTGATTTTCAAATTTTGGTGACTTTTTCTGGGTGCGGCTGACTCATTGCGGGCCCTGGAGCAGAGTAGCACTGCCCTGTGGAGTTTCCAAGGCTGCCATCTCTACAGACAGGATCCCTGGTGGTGCAGGGGGTTAAGCACCAGGCGGCTGACCCCGAAGATGGCCCTCAGAGCTGCAGGATGGTAGCCTGGGGAGCACAAAGGGGCAGTTCTCAGTTCTCCTCTGTCCGAGAGGGCCGCTGAGTGGGAATGGGCTCACCACTGAGAGTCTGGGCTTGTGTGTGGCTCTTACTCGGGAATAGGCAGTAAAGGGGGAGGACAACGATGGGGGGCAGGGCATAGGGAGGGCTTGGGCAAGGGAAGCCTGGAGGTGGGTTGGTTAATCTTTACATTGGAAGGCTAGCTGGACTTTCTTCTGCATAGCAAGCGGCCAGACACCATGCTTGCTTGCCCAGTGTGCGGCCACGGGAAGGTACATTCTTTCCATGGGGGGAGGGGGCGTACGGGCTGACTCTCCCTATGGAAAGGCATGTCTTATCTCTAGGCTCCTGTCTTGATCTTGAAGGATAACAACGGGGGGTGGGGGGGGGCAGACTTGCCCGCCTCAGATCACATGGCCCCCCACAAGCCTTCATTTGTAAGAGATGAGAACAGATGGGGTCACGGGAGAGCTGGCCGCAAACCCAAACCGGTTCTGGAGACCCACCGTGCATGCAGCTGTGGGGCTTTTGTGCACTTAGGAAAGTAAAGTTATGAAACACCCCTCAATCCCAGCTGCTTAGCTACCTCGGGGATCCCACAACCACCGTGCTCCTGAAGAAGAGTTCTACCTGGCGCTATTGAATGGGGCGTTGGCTTTTGAACCACCAGGTCAGAGATTCAGACCCACCAGCTGCTGAGAAAGATGGGGTTGTCTGCACTCACAGACTGACAGCCTCAGATACTCTACCAGGTGCTCCAAGTTGGAACCCCCAGACGCCAGTGGGTGGGTACCTCCCTACAGTTAGGGGAGGAGGCTTCTAGGCAGGAAGCCCACCCCACCAACTGCAAGGAGGCTTCCTCTATTGCCTGGCAGACCTTTGCCGACTTATTAAAAGCAACAAAAAGGCAGCTCAGCCCACATCACTGATCCCATTCTGATTCAGGGAGTTTCTGGAACCAAATCTTCCCAGGAGCCGCCTCATCCTTCCCCCACCCAGCAGCTGGTGGGTTTGAACCAACAGCCACTAGCTGAGACTGGCCTCCCATTTCACACCCCAATCGGAGCGCAAATCTGAAAAGAGCGCTCAGTGTATACCGGAGTAGGGAAGGGGATTTCTCGCCTTACCTACCCTCGCCCCACCCGGCCCTTCTCAAAAATTTTAAAAGAAAACAGTGGTCTCAGCTTGCAACTCTGGAGGCTAGAATTTCAGGGGGGCAGCCAGTATTGACCTCGGCGCATCAAGCCACGGAGATGGCCATGCCTCCTGACAAGGAGCAAGGCGGAAAACCGCGCCTGGCCTGGAGTCACGCACAAGTCTCCCCACCGGCGCCGAACGCGCGCTTATTCACGGGAGCTTTCAAAAAGCGGAGACGCCCTGCCATCGAGCGGACTCCCACCTACGGCGCCCCTAAGCGCAACCCTTCAGGGAGTAGACATCCGAGGTTCTCCTGGGCAGCGGCCGGACCTTTCAAAGCGCGGACCTCGCTGCGAGCAGCCTGACGCAGTCCGCTGCGCCACCAAGGGTCCGGCAGGTCTTAATTCGAACCACCCAGCTCACCTCCATCGAGTGGACTGTGACTCATCGCGACCCTAGGACCAGGTAGAGCTGCCCGTGGGTTTCCAAGACGGGCTCTTCACGACACAGACGGGGCCGCAGGTGGTTTTGAACTCGGGCCGAGCGGCCAGCAGTCGATGGTTCCCACTGCGCCTCCGGGGCTCGCGGGCCGAGGGTCGGGAAGGGTAAAGCCGGCGCAGGCCGCCGCCAGCAGGGCCGCAGTTGGAGGCCGCTGGAC